CTCTCTCTCTCTCTCTCTCTCTCTCTCTCTCTCTCTCTCTCTCTCTCTCTATCTAATCGTGCTCTCCTGCGACGAAGAACGATGGAATTGATACCTGATATCGAGAGACCTCGCCCTTTTATAACATTTTCACCTATACATGAAAATACTGTTTCCTACGTCTTTGCGAGACGATGTCCGGCAATACGGGCAAAACGGGAAAACCGTTGCGTTGCTAAAAATATTCTCGAGTCTGCAATAACGTTCATTCGCTCCACTCCATCCCCTCATCGTTCTTTATATATCGATCGATCTTTTACTTTTTTCCTTCTTTTTTTATCCGTCGAACTCGCGAAATGGAATTGATTCCGTGCACATTTACCGTCATTTTCGAATTTGACGAGCGGAGCGAATTTATCGTGGAACTATCGATCGCCGTTTAATTGTACGCACGGTACATACGTCGAGGCATTCATCGCGGTCCCGCGCGCGAGCGGAGGCTCAAATTTGAATAGATATTTCGCGATATTACGCAGCCGTGTTATTGCCATTATGTAACGCCAAAAGTTAAATAATGGGCGATTGTTGATGACGAAATATCATCGGCGGGGATACGCAAGCACAAGCGCAAGTGATTATTATTTAGAAACGTTCCTCTGGTTTGTTAAATTTCCACGCTGAATTTCTCATTGAAATGGAAATGCGCGCAACAACATCGCGTAACAAAGTGAAGCGCACGCATGCGCGCGTGTAATGCGCACTATTGATGAGTGAAACGTACACATGGAAATTTGGACGGTAATATTCAACAAACAATGCATTATCGTGATAAATTTGCGAACATAGATAAACGGATGGTTCAGTAAAAGTGTGTCAAAGGCAAACGTTAAATATTATAGAACCGATGTGCGAACCAACTGGCTCTTACTCGCTCCCAGCAATGCGGTAATCGCGTAATTGCTATCGCGCCACGGGTCCCGTGTGTGTGTAGACACCTGTTCGCCGTAAACAAAAGTTCCGACTATTGATCGCGGCGCTTAATTGCGCATAATTAAGTGATCGCACGTGAGAAACGAATTGTTCAAACGCGCGAGTACACAAAGCGCGTTTCGCGTGACTGGCGAAACTGCGTATCTCGTCGAGATGTATCGATGACACGAATGATTGATATTTCTTCTCAAGGGCGTTACACGCGCGCCGCCGAACTACCGGACGGACACGAGCTCGTGATACCGCGGAAGGTCAGGTCGGACGGGAGTTTCGTGTCTCATCGGATACCTCATCACTTCGGCCGCTTTTTCTATCAAAATCGAACGACCCCCGAGAACGGCGACGATGCTGTGCACTACCGTCTGCGTATCGGTCACGAGGAGCATCACATCGTGCTCCATCCGAATCACCGGCTTCTCGGCCCGGGCGCGGTAATCGAGGAGTATCGAGGATCGCGGGATTTTTTGGATAACACGAAATTGAAGCGAGTGCGGGACACGCAGTGCCACTATCGAGCCCGTGTGCGCAACCATTCGGAAGATAGCGCTCTGTCCACCTGTTACGGACTCGTTAGTCGTTATTGAGTGTTACCTCGTCCGATTGATCGGTGATGGTTCGAATGATCGCGGCTGTAACTCGTAACAATTTTAACGGATTACAGCTCACTTCTGGAGCAACGCGAAAAAGAGGAACTTCGATTCATATTTCCGTATTGTGTAGGGGAGATCGGGACTATATGGGCCGAGAGGAATAACGCAAAATCGCAAAATAATCCTTTTAGAACGTAAATACTTTTCCCTGAGTTTCATTAAAATTGGAATAATATTACAGAAATAGAACAAAACTGAGTTGGTAATAGCAAAGTAAATTTTCGAGCCTCTTGAAATTTTGTATTAACCCTTTCAACCCCGAATTAATTCTATTCGCAAGAACAATTTTTTCTCTATTCATTATTATTTTTAATAATGTAAAGATGATATCTGATTTCTTTCATAATTTTTCAATAAACCATTTTAAAGAAATCAAAATATTGTTTCACAGAAATAATCCTTTGATATGATGCATTATTTTCAGTGCAAACTATATTCTACATAATAATTTTCTACTTTTCGTACATCGCAATAATTAAATAATGTACGAGGATATTTTGTATAATTCACTTTTATGAAATACAATATTAGTAAATTGCGATTATTTATGGAACGATCAGCGTCAAAGTGGAGAGACGACGAATGCCGACAATTTATTAGTTTTTACTACTACAACTAAGTGATAAAGTTAAAATCCCGCCTAAAATTGTGAGAGACAAAATTGCCAACAACGTTTGACAGTTTGACAGCGAAAAATATCGTAGTTTGGCGTCTGGATCGATTTCTAGTACATATTGCTTCAGAGCAATGACGGGTATGAAAGGATTAATATTCTCCATCGTAATTGAATAAAATTAAGCGATGTGTTACTATTTAGGATTTATAAAATTCCTTGCAAGTATATAATATATTGCTTCTGGTGGTAAATGCAATCTTCATTCAAAAAATGATTGAAATATAGCATATGGACGGACAAGACACAGTTGGCCTATAATTAAAGACCGGTAAAAGGATCGTGGAGACCTTTCGCGGAGACTCTGGAACTACTAATACTCAGAATACATATTTTATACGTGGCCTTCTTTACCCTCGCAACTGAACCCGGTACCAAGACAAGATGGCTATGTTGCTGTATATTCGTATTTTGATTATTACAAAAAATATATGATTAACAGAGTCGTGATGAGCATTAATAAATAGAAGAAGGTTGCCTCTATCATGTTTATACAGTCAGTTACAACAATTAGTTGCCTGAGAAGTTGTAACTTCGAAATTCTGTAATATAGAGCATCTAGCTCCGGTCGTCCCTTACATTCTTTCGCACGTAGACTCATTATTTCAGCAATGTGTGAAGCTATTCACGTGAAACGTGAACGGCGAATACGCAAACTTAACAAACGTAACGACATGTGTTTTATTCCGTCGTCGGAGGAATATTTCTTTCAAGTATCTAAAGGGACATTTGGAAAATGTACACTGTACGGACGTGGAGGTGGAGAACCGGCGAAATATATAAATCAAACGTTGCCTCCTTTTTCGACGAGAATAGATTGAATGGGGATCTTAAGAAATCACCCACCGGCGTTCTAATATTTGATCTCTCAGGTCGGATACATCAAAACGAAGAGCGCGTGGTATATGATTGAGCCAGTGGCTGGGCATGACTTCACCAAAGAAACGGAGCAACCGCATATCGTGTATAAAAGGAGTCCAGGCGAGTTTCAGCGCGCCATCGCTGCGCGAGATCTCTGCAACGTCACTGGCGATACGTCCAGCATCGTCGCCAAGCGCGCTCCGAATCCGCGTAAGAGAGTGCCCGCAAAATCGAACGGGAGTAAGTCGTACACGCTGGAGCTACTGGTCGTGTTGGACAAGTCTCTGCTGGATTATCACAGGAAGTTCGACGTCGAGAATTACGTACTGACGCTCCTCAACATGGCGAGTTGTATGAAACCCTTCGGGGGAATTTTCCAAACTCGCCTCCGAGCAAACGGCAATCTAAAGGAAGTTTCTCTACTCAGGCCGCGGCTTTATTTCACGACGTCAGTCTGGGCGTGCACATGCAGTTGGCTGTAGTGAGAATTATAAGACTAGAAGTGGAAGAAAACGAGGTAAAAGAATACGGTGGAGACCTTTTCAATACCAAAGGAAGTTTCTTACGGTTCAGAATATTAAGTTACGCTATCTCGATAGTTGAAATTTATTCAATTAAGCAATTTATAATTGCTCATGATTAAGTTGATCTCAGTTATCTTATTTTATATATATATATATATATATATATATATATATATATATATATATATTATAAAATGACCTTTCTATTTCCTATAAACTCTTATATCTTTTGACCGATCTGAACTAAATGGATAAAATGATTCAGTTTTAGCCTAAAAACTGTAACGTAAGTTATACATGTAATCTTACGCTGAATCGCTGAATACGATTGTGGGATTTTTATCCATCCAAACCCGTAGAAAAATGGTCAAAATTTGCCTTAAAGGGGTTGAAATATATTACTTTTAATAGAAATTCAGTTAATGACAATTTTGTTCCAATTATTTAATTACTTGTATTATAGCTTAGTTTAATAAGCTTATAATTTTTTATTGATTCAGTTTTATAACTTTTAACTTCAGTTAAATTAAGGAAGGTTTCAAACTAAGGAAACATTTCAAAGTGAAATACGTTAGAAATATTGAATCTAACATAGTAAAATCAATATGATATAAAATGAAGAAAGATAGCCAATTTTCTTATTCAGAGAACTTAATTCTCATCAGATGTGCACCTGCATACTTCGTGCAGTTTTAAGGATGTTAAAATAGCTGACAGTGATGAACTTCCTCATCACTCTAGAGATTCTACTAAAGAACTTCTTATAAGGAAATTTAGCATTTCTGAAGTGTTTAATTTTGAAGTGCTTTCTTAGTTTTCAATGAAAGTCATAAAAATCTAAACTATTATATAAGTAATTAAAGAGTTCAAATAAAATCGTCACTCTAACCAAATTATTATTAAAAGTGATTTCAATCTTTTTAAAGCAAATTTTTGTTACTTTCTAAATTATAGAGAAGGATAAAAGTGTATTCATCGTATTCAGTGACTCAAAATCTTAAAATTACATATATAATTTACGTTATATTTTTTAAGCCAAAATTGGTCTGTTTTACTCATAATATTTTGCATAATTACTCTCTAGAAAAATATAAGCTATCAGAATATATCCTCTTGGACACATATTCCGCTTTTTCCTTTTTCTTTTCTTTCATATTTTACAATAATTCGCGTAATATCAGGTATTAGTTTAAGCTATTAATTAATAATCTGTATTATTAGTAATATCTTGATTGTCACTCTGCGTTACATAACTTAACAGAACTCGATAATACATCCTAATATGCAAAATATCAGCAATATATCAGCAAATTTGCAGCAGATTCGATCAGAATATCGTGGCAGATCCACAACCATCTTTGTCAGCACCAGCTCGCGCTGTGCCGACAGAGCTTACTGATATAGTTTGTGTGGACAGCAGATTGACGGCAGAAACCGAGTAGGATCTGCAGTATGTTTCATTTAAATGCATTTAAATGTATTTAAAAATAAATCACTAATTAATTTAAAAATATATATACATTTAAATTTATTTAATAATAAATTACTAATTATTAATTAAGAATTAAATACATTTCAGAATTTAATGCATTGAGAAACACCTTAAGAATTAAGTACGTCTAAGAATTTAATACATTGAGAAATACCTCTCAATCCACAGATCCTGCTCCTTTCTGTCATAGTTCAGTAAAACTATCTATCATCATACTCTCCTAATAGATCTTGTTGTATTTCTGTTAGAAAACTGTCAACACAATTTACAGACACTGCGCAAAATCTCCTTCTGCAAATTTGGCCATATCATTTTGTACAAACCAGATAACTGATTGATCAATTTGATCAGAACCATGGAATAAATTCTTTGTCGAGATTGATGCGTGTCTAACGATCGCAATTTATCGTGACTATCAAAGCGAAGATTTCTCTTTAATATTTAGACGGTAATTTATATTTGATGGTCTCATACTCCACACGAGCTCCAAACATCATCGATTGCACGTTGCAGATGAATCTGTCGATAAACCAAGACGCGGATACGACATTGAGGCGTTTCCAAGAGTGGCAGCGTGCTATGAATCCCGGCGATGATTCTCATCCGAATCACCACGATTGCGCGCTTCTCATTAGCAAGTACGCATCTCACAGCCAATTCTACCGGAGATTCAATCTAATCTCGAGAGTACCGCTGCTCACCCTTTTGACGACCAATGATTCTTGCCAGGTTAGACATTTGCGTCTCTCGTGATCTCTGCGGCTTCACCGGCACGTCCACGATCGCCGGTACATGCGACGCTACGAAAGGCGCAGCCATTGTGAGAGACGCCGGTTTACCGACCGGTTATCACATAGCTCATCAGATAGGCCACACGTAAGCGTATAATTAATTTCATCCGCTTCGGCCCGATTAGAGAGAACGGGGAGAAAAAATTCCGTGTAATTACGGCGCGCCGCTACAAACGATGTAAACGCCAGCAAATCCGGGCTTTATACATACCCCGCCTCCAATCTCGCTTGCAGTCCCTACGGTATTGCGGCGAACAACAAAACTAATTTTATAATGTTAATAGGATATTCTCTCCGGTTGGTGAGTGCGCGTATACATGGTATGAGAGTGGCAATATGGGCCACTTTTTTGTTTTAGACGAAAAACCCAATATTACATGCAACAATTACATCAGTCAGAGCTGTTAGCACATATCTCTTATAATGCATTCATAATTATTAGGAAAAGAAAAATTAACTGTTCAGAGAGCGCAGAAATTTTTTTAACATAATGTAAAAAGTTGGAAAATGAGGAAAACCTCGGAAAATGGGGTGATATGAAACAGGCATGGAAATAAAAAAGGTGTTTACTTTTTATTATTAAAAATTATTTATGTTAAAACAACTGTTTTCATTGAATATTTTTGAATATAAAAATCATAAGTTAAAAATAAAAATAAAAAATTTCTTACGAGAATGAAGAAAATTGAGTTCAATAATTCAAATTATGTAAAAGTCTTTTAGACTTAGGAACTTAGAAGTCGCAGAGAAAAACATCCCTTTCACACCCACTGCATGAGACATGGAAATATAAGATGTGGTAATATGGAACACTTCTTGCTTCATATCATCACCCATCGCTATTTTTCAAACGATCCAACGAATCTCAAAGTAGAAAAAATATTTTCAAATAACTAACTCTGCGATTCTGAAATCGCAACAAATCTCAAAGTAGAAAAAATATTTATAATATCAAATAACTACCTCTGCGATTCTGAAATTTATTCTTATTACTAATCGATACACTATAGCTAATATGTTGAATTTATCGATTAAGATGGGAAAAAATTGTCAAATCTTACCTTGTTAAAAGTTTTAACAGGAAAAAAACAAACCGGCTTCCCTACTATAAATAACGAGCCAGTGATGCCAGATCTCTTTGCTTGCCGTTAAGGATTCTAATGGTTATATTTATATCAGTTACCGATAGATCACAGCATTTATTTAATAGATCAGCCTTGTTTTTTTTAAATTACCAGCTTGTTTCATATTCCCATCTTCACTCCTGGTATTAACATTTTCCGTCGCAGCGCAGACGATATTTTGCAGAGAATTGCATATATGCCTAGCTATTCCTTAGCTATACGTGTCTTAATCGAGAATTGCTAAAAATTTTCAATCTAACGCATTCGTTTCAGACAGTCAAGTGTCGTAATTGTTGGTTATTTGAAGAAATTGCAACGATATCAAGCAGCTATGATACTTGGACAACTTAATGTTTTGTTTGCGTTTATAATTGCGTTTATTCGTTCATATGTCACGCGTGACATTTTTAGTGATAACATAATCGCAAAATGTGGATAACGATAAAAGCATTATGCTCGCTATTTTATAATCCCTGAAAAGGTATAATTTAAAGCTAAATACTGCAATATTTTTTGCACTCACAAGAAGCGGCATAATCTATTTGAGAAATATAGTAAATATATTGGCGAATGGATATTATTTATTATTTAATCCGTAAGTGACATTATGTTATAATTAAATATTAAATGTAGATTAATAGGACTAATTAATAAGATTCATCGTTTCTTCGAATAATCACAACTCTTAACTGTCTAGAAATGAATGAGAAAAAAATTTATTAAATTTCAAAAAACGTTTGTTTGGATAGTACTGTGAAGATATTTGTTTAAATTAAGTAATTATTTTCTAAAATTAAATAAAGAAGTTTCTAAAATTAAATATAAATTTGTTTCTTTAATTTCAGAAAATAATTACTTAATCTAAACAAATATTTTCACAATACTATCCAAACAAATGTTTTTTGAAATTTAGTAAATTTTTTTTCTCAATGTAAGTCGAAGATTTTTAGTAACTCTCGATTAGGATACATGGGAATGACTAGGCATATATGCAATCCTCTGTATACCCTCATTCCGATCGGCCGGAGGAAATATCGTACAGGCAGATATCTCGACCCTCGATAATCGCTTGCCTTCGCTTTACGCCACTGACTGGTCCCTTTTTGTGCGCTCGACAACGGAGAGAGGGCCGGAAAAAAGGTCAGAAAAGTCGAAATAAATTCCTAAAAGAGCGTTTCTTCGGCCGGGAGTGGGAATAATGGTATGCCGTGGCGTCGTCGTAAATAAGTCACGGTCGAGGGCGTTGTTTAATGTATGAAGCGGCTCTTCGCCTCGTGTACCTCGAGATGCTTTTTAAGAACGAGCCGGGGTGAGACCCGGCGCGACGTGGCGTGCGCGCACGCCCCAATAAATATTCCACTCCGAAAAGCCGATTTTCTTTTTCTCATTACCACCCAGCCTAGGTATGTCCCACGACGTGAGACAGGAGAACGGCTGCACCGGTATAGTTTATCATCACGGGAACGGATACGCGGAGACCACCGTTATGCACCCCGGCGACATGTACGTCACGAAAAAATGGTCCGAGTGCTCCCGGCGCTACCTGCGCTTCTACATCGAGTGAGCTTAATGCTTGTTGCTCTTTCGCCGGCGGCTTTATTAAAGCTCGCCGACGACAAAGCTGCTTTCCTCATCTACCTGTTCGCCGAGAACGGAGAGAAATACAGAATACCCTCTCCTTCCGCGGCGGTCGTAAACTTCAAATTAAATTAAGAATAGCGCCACTGCGCGCTGTCTCGCGACAGGGTTGATACGCGTGATATGAAGAGACGGGCGGGAGACACGACGAAATCCTCCGTCCCCGAGAATACTCGTTCTGGTAGATGAGAAGCCACGCGTCTCGCGCAATTTGAATCTCGAGGAGTATCGAGTTTGTTGCTTCCAGGCAGGGTCTGGGCTTCTGTCTGGAGGACGAGCCGCAGGATCATCATTTCCCGAGCATGGAGATGTTGCCGGGCGTGATGTACAACGGCGATGATCAATGTCGCTTGCGATATCGAACGGATGCCCGGCAGTGCGATATGGGAATCGTAAGGACCATTCGTAGGAAGGCCGCGAAGAGTGACTCGACTCGGAGGCTCGTCCTCCACTGAGGACGAGAGAGTATGGAGCAATCGACGCTGTCCGATAACGTGTTTTATCGTATCGGCGGCTCGCACGTGGCGGATGCACGTGTGACCTAGAATTATTCTAAGCAGAGTTTTGTCACGATTGCGATTTTATCAATCCTGCGAGAAAGAAGCATATATTTTCAATCTCTCTTTTTATCTACCTGCGAGAGAGAAGGACATATTTTCAATCCTTCTCTTTGTCTATCTCTCTTTAACCTAACCTAACCTACTACGATAGGAGAGATTGGATATTATGATTGGATTTGATAAAACATAGCGGACTAATCAAAAGTTGCTCTCTTTTGGTCAAACTCTGCTTAGAGTAACTGTAGTGTGGCCCGTAAAGAGGCACCATCTGCCGTTCGCATCTACAAGCTGATGCCTTTGCAGCCTGCCTTATCCGTTTAGGAAAATACGCCTCGGCCACGCATGGCGTCAGATAAGAGAGGCCGGGATAGAATCGCGATATCGCGCCGAGATATCGCGATCGGCACGCAGCCAACTAAAAGCGAGACGATCTCGCCCCCATTTTCAGACCTGCGAAACCCTCAGGTGCGCCGTGCCCGGCAGAGGTTGCGTGTCCGCGAGGAAACCACCTGCGGAAGGCACCCCGTGCGGCGAGAAGAGGGTAAGTTAACGCTTACGAATAAACTGCGTAAAATAAGGCACAAAGGATAATCGTGTTGAGGGATCACGACGGTCGCAATTCTCGTTGATTCTCCGACAATTTGCACGTCTCCGGAGATCCTTAAACCGAGCTTCTTTCTCTTTCCTCTATATATAGGAATAGGAATTTTCCTTAACCATCTAATGGGCCCAGACCCCCCCCCCCTCACAGTTTTTGACAATCATTAGTTACACCAAAGAATCTAATAATTTATTCCATTACTAAGGTAAAACTATACACAATACGTCTCACAATATTTCTTTAAAGTTCAATATATAAAATATTTATTTTTACATATACCGTTATATATGAATAATTTATTCAACTACAATCATTATAATTTTAATTGATTTTTGCCAATTATAACAAAAAATATATAGACAATAAGATAATATGTTTTACAGAAACTTTCAGTGGGGCGTTTTGTCAATATACTGCAAGGTAAAACGCCCCAGGCTTGTGACAATACGTTCCTTAAACTTAATCTACAATGTGCTCTTTGCTTTCTATTTCTTATTTTCTGCTTTTTGTCTGGCTTAAGGCTTAAGATCTGAGCCAGAAAAAGATAAAGAGAAAGAAAGCAAAGAATACATTGTAAATCAAGTCTTCTCAATCAATTTCGAAACATCATAACGTGCGCGTTAATTTTTTGTCTTTATTATTTATTATCCAGATCTTAGCTTTTTGGGCGAAATAAGTTTCAAGCGGTTTACAAAGCGCTTTGTCTCTGGATGATATGCCTGGGAAAACACCGCTTATTATTTGCTTATTACGCACCTTTTCAATGGTTTTTTTAAAGTTTTCTTCTGATCATGCGGCTTAACACAATTTTGTTTTCTGTCTATAAATAACTTACATAATCAGTGAAGTGTGTGTATTATATATACTTATTATGTATAGTTTTTGTAATTTTCGTAACGTAAACTTCCTTATCCATAAAATGTTAGACAGAGATAATAGATTACTTTTTGTAAATGCAAGTATAACTCAAGTCTTTTTAAATAGTTTCCGCGTGAGTAAACAACATTTAAATATTATTACTTGTTTCTAAATAGAAAATTAATTCGAAGGCAACTTATCGGAATATGTTCGTTAGCATATATATAAGTTTTTTTAAAATATATTTCACAAAGGCCTAATCAAAGGTATACATCGGAACATGTTACTCTTGCATTGTTACCACGTTTAACTTTCGAGAAAAAACTTTAGGGTTTGGTTAGGATGTATTGTCTAGTTTTATCCTAAGTCTAACACTCAAAAAACATTATTTTTATTATAGACATATAGGCAAAAACAATATATAGGGTAAACCAGTAATTATTATCATCTGAAATATTTTCGAGGCAAAAAAGAAAGATGATCTTTAAATCCTCGGAGTTATTTAGAGAAAGAAACGTTACTACTATAAGACGCTTTCTCCAAGTAGAGTAACTTTCAGGATCTGAAGATTAATTTTGTTTTTTGTTCCGAAGGTATTCCGCATGACAATAATCACTGATTCACTTTATATATACATTAAACATTGTAGACACGAACATTTCAGAATTATATTTACGAGAATAATTGATTTATATCTCTGAGATACATTGAGACCATTTCCATTAGAAAATAAATGTGCCTATTATAAATGCACCTATTATATATGCGAAGGATTAATTGTGGGTAGACTGTGATTATCTTAGGGGCTTTCTTCGAAACTAGAAAATTTCGCATACCAGAAAGTAGGTTGGCGATATCGAGCTGAGGAAAGGTCAGTGAGAACTCGGGCTTGATACGCGACAAGTTCCAGTTCGTATCAGCCAAACGTCCCTCGGTCACACTCTCGGACGCTTATCAGGGATATGAAAAATCGAGCCGTCAAACGGAATGCATTACGCGTGAGAAGATAATTTCTAGAAAAAAACGTTCTTGTGTTGAGTGCATTTCTCGGCTCAGAATAACTCAACGCGATATCAGCCGAAAGCAGGAGAGATTTATGAGAATTAATTACATAGCTCTGTTGCGTGCGCGTATTCCGCTTGTGGCTCGCCTCAACGCGCTGCTCATCGAGATATTCGCCGGCGAGTATAACCGATGAATAAGTCCTCACTCGGCCGTGAGAGCCTTGAAAGCATATCGGCGCGCGGATCCGAAGAAAAACTACATATTGGCCAATTAATCAAGGCTTTCGAAAAGCCTTCACCGGCTGGCCATTACGTCGAGTCGGTTTAAATATCTCATGAAAGACGAGGCGGGAGTGCATAGCGGAAAGCTGAAAAAGCTATCTGGATCCGCCATCGACTGAGTGAGTCACGCGCCCTTTTAGAATCGAAGCCAGTTTCAGCTTTCACCGAGTTTCATTGGCCCTTAAGGCTATGCTGTATTGCGATGTTAAAAATCGCGAGCGGTTATTCGAGGGAGAAAGAGAGAGAGAGAGAAAGAAAGAAAAAAAGAGAGAAAAAGAAAGAGAAAGAAAAGGAGAGAAAGAGAAAGAAAGATACGTACCCGAGAGATACGTACGAACTAATATCGCGCAAATCCTCCGTAAACTCTTTCACAACGATGCTTCCGCGTGTTCGCGGAAAATTGCGGACTTTATGTAACTGTTTCTTGCCGTGCGCTTTCGGTTTAACAAACAAAGCCTCTTGCTAATGCACCACAAAGACGTCTCGAAAAATTGCACCATTTATCCAGGAAACATAGAAACGAATTAGAAAATTGAAAAAAGAGGAGAAAGGGGGAAAGGAACGGCGTGCAGAGGGAGAAAGAGAGAGGAAATAGGAAATATCGCCAAGTCGTGCGAAATCTGTTCCGGGGACATAAGAAACTGTCTCCTCGCTCAGCTTATTGCTTTAAAAATAGGAGAACTTCTCCGTTTCAATCGACCGCGTAAGAAGGGAGAGGGGGTGGAAGGAGAGGAGGGAGCAGGAGTGTTCTCTCGTGCAAGAGTTCGCGTATACATCTCGTCACATGAATGAAATGCGTTGCGCGTTCGTGGCGCGAACATTTCGGGAATCAAGAGTCGGGCGGGCGAAATATTTTTTCGCGGTCGGTCGAGCATGCGTCGCTACGTGACGTTTCAAAGGTGCTACGGCCGGGCGAGACGTGACGGAACGATCGTTACGCGTGAGAACGTAATGGCTCGGCGACGAACGGTGTACAAATATCAGTCATCAGCGAAATATCAGATTTGGGTGACAATGTTAATAACCGAGCGTGCCGGAGCGTCGAAGCACGCAGACGGCAGTCATTAGCGCGCCGACCGGCCGACTGGCGGCAGACTCGGCGTGTCGGTGAGGCCGAACACCACGTTGAGAAATGAACCCCGTCGTGAACCCGACCGACGAGCAATCTCTAATTGCCGGAGCGAGCTGCGAACCGAGTCGACAAACGGTCGACGCTCGTGCGCGCAAATCGGCCCGGCGCGTCGGAGCGGACGAGCACTCTTATTCTCATCGCGAATTTCAGGAGTGCACGAGCTCGAGAGTATCGGTAAACAAGCTGTCCAAACACGAAAAAATATTTATCCTCGGCAACGGGCATTTTTATCGAATAAACATTGCCTTCGATCATGTGAAACACGCGCTCGGCGCATAGATAAGAGTGGCTGAAGCGTACGCATTCCCTTTAAAGCGCACGCAATCGACTTTGATATTGAAAAGAAAACGATATATATATATATATATATATATATATATATATATATATATATATATTATATATAAAGGCTTGATATACTCTTTCTAGATTGTGATCCAGAATTTCGTGCGGATCTTTCGACAAAGAAAGCGACCAAGCTTTCATAAGCTTTTAGCCTCATTTCGTGATATTTGAAATCTTAAATTATTTTCGGATAAAATTAAAGCTATTATGATGGATATAAAGATATACATAAGTATCAAAGTGATACGCTTCACTATTTGAGAGAAAATGATCTAAAAATACGTATTCTGCCCAAAAGATGCGTATTCTGTCGAAATAAATGGTACTGTCAGGATCTTTACAGAAGACGCATAGGAAATGTTGCAGATAATGAAAGTCTTTATCAGTAAGTAATGTAGATTATGAATGCTAATAAAGTTTATTAATTTAGGGTGACCTTTGCCAAGTTCCGATTAACTTAATTCCATTGTGAGACAACAAATAATTAGTCAATCCTGATAGTTAAAACGGAATTAATCGACAATTAAAATAATTAGAATTTTGTAAAAGTCATTCTGAATTAATAAATAATAAAATAATAAATAATAAATAATATTAGGATTTATAATCCGTATTATTTTATTAATAAAGTCTTTCATTTCTCTCCCATTTCTTGTAACATTTACTATATATTTTCTGTAAAGATTATGACGCGTACTGAGAAAAATTATCCGATAAAAATTAACAAAAGGATATTACCAATCAAAATACCGCTGAATTTTTATATTCGATCAGGATATCCAATTAAATTTAATCGAATACTTCCGATCATCATGACATTTCATTAGGCAAACCGATAAAAAAATTCTGAACCTATATTTCTCATCGAATCCTGATCGAATACAAAAATTCATCAGTATTTTGAACAGAAATATCCGTTTGTTAATTTTTTATGGAATAATTTCTCTCAGTATGATATCATTTATTTCGACAGAATACGTATCTTTTTGGATTATTTCAGCATCATTTTGATATTTATATATATTTAATCTACTTATGAGTAATGAGTAACTACAATTTTATAAAAAATAATTTAGGATTTCGAATACCACAAAATGGAGCTAAACTTGACCGCACTCTTTGAAATACATTTTATTTTTGTTATTTTAGACATTCGCGGTGTTTTCCAATACTTTGCTTGTTTTCCGGGTTTGGACTGCGTCTTCCTTTAGTTCCGATATTTCGTGAACATTTCAGTTTACAAGATTCAGGTCGTCCTGCTTTTTGAAGAAGTGAATTAAAATGTTCACGAAACGTCGGAATCAAATACAAGGAAGACGCGATTGAAACCCGGAAAACAAAGAAAGCATTTTATTTTTGTTGAAAATAATTTTCATGGATAATATATGCCATGCTGCTCAACGATCTTTCGTCATCCTTCATGTAATTTCACAATCCCCCTCTCGTAAAACTCTCGTAAAACCCTCGTGCCATTCCAGTGAAGAAATGTTCCAAGTGATTCTTCACATCTTCTACAGAAGCGAAGTTTATTCCGTCAAGGGAGTTCTTTAATGAGCGAAACAGATGATAATCAGAAGGGGAAGGGAAGCAATGTCGGACGAATATAGTGAGTGAGGCAAAACATTTCAGCCGAACTCTAAGACCGGTATTCATAGTCAGGTCTTATATTTAAGACCGTGTTAAATTTACCTTTAAAGATACTCCGCATCCAATAAAATGATTCATACAGCATCTGAAGGTAAATTTAAGATGGTCTTAAATATAAGACCTAATTATGACCTACGAATTTTTACGATTACGATTTTTATGATTTTAGAATAAAAAAGCATAATGTACCGAAAAAATTTATTACTGCCTTCCATTTGCAAACTGAAACAAAGACCATTGTACTTTTTTAAACACTATCACTTGCACAACAAAATATGTTCTGAAATATCAGCTATCAAAGCATGTACATAGATGGTCAACTATACGTGTGTGTGTGTGTATGTGTGTGTGTGTGTGTGTGTGTGTGTGTGTAAGACTATTTTTCAAACACTAATATGTGAATATTAGTGGACATAAACCCGCACGAACTTATGGATCAACTCAATAGTTGTTAAATGGCCCGACGCGCCCCAAAGAGACACGAGAGGAAGGTGGGGAGGTGGGAAAGGGGAAGAGAGAAACAAAAAGAGAGGGCAGCAATTTCCGTACGATAAAATTTAGCGAATAAAATTGTGCAACGCGCGCGGCAACAGAGAACACTGCGAAGTTTGAAAAAATTGAAATCGGAACGATAACATCGAGCTACGAAAATAGATTGATCCACCCACGTGCGTAAAACTTGGTTTGTTTGACATGTCCGTTACACGTACGTACGGCCGATGCAATCATCGGTAGAATGAAATAGACAAATAGATGCGTAATTGTAGTTCGCGGAGCGAAGAGCAATTATCTCGTCGCACGGCCGAGGGCGGATTCGCCGGTGTGTTGCGTGCACCGCAGAATCGAGCCCGGTGGCGTTAGCACAGCGCGCGCGCTTTTAATACAGACATTCGAAATGAAAAAGTGAGGTAGCTAAAATTCAAGCAGCCATGCGAACGAAGCGACAAGACTCTCGCTCGTCGAGAGGACGCGGTATTCTCATTCGGAAATTCATCGTTTTGACGAGCCGCGAGCTCGGAGCGCACTCTGGTCACATGGAGTGAGCGAATTTCCGCGTCCTCTGAACGTGTGTACGTGCATCATGCGTTAAATCGCACGCAATCGATAATACGATCAAGCGCGGACACATCAATTAAATGACATGCATCGTGAGGAACGATTATTGTTCGCGACGAGCGACTCATTAACAAATCGAAGAAGGAGACACGCGACGAGTGACGCGACAGTTTTTAAAACAAAATTTCTTCAACGGATATCAACGGATAACATAAAAATATCTGGAGCGTTTCTTACGGAGGAAAGGTCTAGTTAATGATAAGGGGAGAATTATACAGTACTTCCGGGGTTTTCCGCCATAGCTCCTTTGAACACTCCCCGTCACAGTGAGGCAAAAAATATCTGAGAAATAAAAAATATTTATTCGCATTAATAATATATTTACTTATACTGATACAAAACATTTTTCAAAGAAGAAAACTAAATTTAAATTAAATCTAATTTTCTTAAATCTTAGATCTGAATTCTTTTAGATAGAATAAATTGCTTTCACACTGTAAAACATTTTGTGTTAGATTGAACATATTTCACGCGTCTCAATTTATCCACTCGAATTTCTGTGTTAATTTAACACAAGGTAATTATATAAATAGATAACACAAACATATGTCGAAAATTGACACAGAAGTGGACAATATTGTGTTATTTTAATATTTGGAAATGATGAGTATAAACTAAACTAAACAGAATAATCAAAATAATACAACCACAATAAGTTAATTTAATATACGGATACGACAAAAATATAACACAAAAGAGAATTTCTGCATGGATCGATTGCAACGCAAATATAAAATATTTTTTATCGTGCATGGAAAGCAATGATTTTAGGGAAAGATGCTTTCTTATTTGAAAGAAATAAAAGAACTTTTTTCTCGATGTAAGAATATGTATATTATTGCGCGGGAAGAAAGGTTTAATTGGATTAACAAAATTTCCGATAGAATATGAATGAATCAGAAATTCCGACTGAAATTACTAGAATTCTGTTTATACTAACAAAGATTTTGATAACTTCAAATGAAATTTTCTGATTCTTTCAAATTTCACAAAAAAATTTGATTAGTCCTCAACCAAACATTTTTGCTGTATACGAATAAATATGTCATTAGTATCCATCAGATAAATATTTTCTATTGTTTAAACATCTTTCCTTAGTGTAGTTCGGACAGCGATTCTTCGAGGTTCGCTGCGTACTTGGGGATGTTCAAAGTATCATAACTTTCTCTTTACCGCAAATTAGTCCACAAGCCTTGTCCAAATTAACAACACGTGCTCCGTCGGAATGAAGTGAATGGCGGAAATATTATTTCCACCGGTTCTCTGCTGACTTAAGGTAGTTCTGAGTACACTTAAAACTACAGAAGTCGTAAAGGGACTCGATAATCGCTCGCATCTGGAGATGGCATTAGTGTTCTAATTCTAATGGAACAAGATGGGGACGAGTCGCGAGCGGTAGACGAGGCGTATAAGAATATATCCGTCTCAAGGCATAAATCTCCACGTCTCGCTCTTCCTCGGGCGCGTGCATCATTCAGTTTCGTGCATAATACACTTCCCCGGGACGGTTCTGGCCGTGCCTTACGTTCGTCGTGACAGAAGTCGCTCAAGTCACAACCGTAATGCGACGCGACACGACACGACACGACACGACGCGACGTCGGCTAACGACTGTTACAGTGGTGTTACCAGATGAAGTGCCTGATGGTGGGTGAACGACCCGGAGTCACGGACGGTGGTTGGGGCGCCTGGTCGTCTTGGAGCAGATGTTCCCGGACTTGCGGCTCCGGAGTGGCGTACGCCGTAAGAAGGTGCAACCAGCCGTCCCCGTCCGGAGGTGGCTCTCACTGCGTCGGCGACAGGAAGCGTCACAGAATCTGCGCCACGGACGTTAGTCTCAATGGAAGTGCTCGCGAACGGCTTCCACGGCGGGCGTCACGCGGACGTCCGGCTTACGCAACGCTTTCGCGTGGTTCGTCGTGAAAACCGCGAAAACGTCTCCTTGGCGCCTTAAGGGGAACGGAAACGTGATGGACGATAACGTCCGTGCGTGAAGTGAAGAGAAAACAGCGGTGTTTTTCTCAGCAGACAGTATTTCCTACGCGCGCTGCGTCGACGTCCCGTCGTTCACGACCGAAGGGTTCGCGAGAGAGTCTCGGTGTTACGATCGTAATTACGATCTCATCTCGCAATTACGATCGTCGACGTTGAGAGGCTGCGCGCAAACATAATGCAGCCTCGTGTAGAACTTCAATAACGCCTTCCGTTTCCGGCTGGGGTATTTTTGGCTCAGACGCATCGTGTCTACATGTTTTTGTATCGTAGCCGCTGATTTCAAGAAAAATTGGCAACTCAATTTATCGTTAAATGCAACAATATATAATAGTGCATTTATGGATTTACCGTTGCACTTAGTGTAGTTAAGCCGCTGATTAGTTAGAAATGTAAAATTACCGTTGGATTTAAAGTGACGATTACTTACGGAAAAATTATAATAAGATAGTAATTTATTGGTAATTTTGGTGAAATTTGTTGTTGATAGTTTCATTGTTCGTTGTTTTTGATAGTTTTGTGTACAAATATTTGTATTTTCTACACTAATGTATAAGATAAAACAACATTCTTCTTATATGCTCATTAAATGTACATCTAATAATCTCTGAAATGTCTCTCAGATGAAAGAAAGGAAACTATTTACAATCCTTCGAGAATATTCATTTCTTAAAATATTGCTATGAATTTTCAATTATATACCACAGTTTAATCGGTGAAACAGCAAGATAATAAATGAAAATGTTGTAAGCTTGTAGGATGGTATAAAAAAATAGACTAAAACCTTAAAAATTTTAAGTTTTTCTAGTTACTATGTACCTAATTTCCTAATTACTATATGTTATATATATCAGTATATTTAATTAATTTATTTATTTATTATTACGTTTATTTATTATCAAAATATTTTGTGGAAAATATAAGTTAAATAAAGCATCTTAAAAGCTATGCTTTATACTAAAAATTTTTTATGTCTGTAATTTTATTTCTAGAAATTATCATTTTCCAACTTTCCAAAATTACCGAGTAAATTACCGTAATTTAAGTAACTGAATAAGTTACCGTCATAGACTGGGCTATTTTTATCTCTGGTCATGATACAAAAATATGTTGATGCGCCCAAACATCAATATCTTAACTGGAAATGGAAGGCATTATTGGAGTCCTTGTATTTTGAATTGTAAATGTACTTATACACAGAGCGAAAGATCAACAATTAATGAATGACCATATGGAGTGCCATATCGTGGAAAAGAATTTTCTTGTTAGAATTTGTTTGTTTCCCGATATAACATAGAGTACGCTGCCGTATGTTGACACTTCACTCCGTGTCAGCATTTGCAATTTTACACAACCAAATAGGAAAACGGCAAAATACGAAAGCTGCGTTCAGTATCCAGCATCCCCTTATTGTTGAATGATCTCTTATAGCCGTGCGATATCAGTGCGCCGTCATTTCGCGACGCACAGTGCGCCGAATTCAATGACTGGGTGTTCCCGGAAGACGGCAAGATTCATCGTTGGATGGCATACAATTTGCCGGAAGGTAAGTCTACGGGCAACTTCCTCGACGTCATCGTCGTCGACCTCTCATGATCTGTAGACCTTTCGCAGACTTGAGAGCGTCCGAGAACCCCTGCGCCCTTTACTGCCTGAGCGAGACCAATCTGGTAACGTCGCTGAGGCCGAAAGTGGTGGACGGCACCACATGCTACCGAGGCATTCGAGATATTTGCATCGGGGGTGTGTGCAGGGAGATACCCTGTGACCTGAATATGGAGTCCACAGCGGTCGAAGATGTTTGCGGCGTTTGTAGAGGCGACAGCACGTTTTGCACGTTGAAGCAGGGAACCTTGTCGTTTACGGCGCAGTCGCGTAAGAAAGGAAATGCAGTAATTTGTGCGAATGTGTTTGTGTGTGTACACGTGGTAACGCTCAAACAAATAATATACAATTGTGCACGAGTGCGAATAGTCAAAAGCATCACATCGCTTCGCGTAGCTTCGAATACTAAAATCTCGCTTTTGAAAGACCCCAGTGAATGAGTAAGTGAGTGAGTGAGAGAGAGAAAGAGAGAGAGGGAGAAAGAGAGAGAGAGAGAGAGAGAGAGAGAGAGAGAGAGGCGCTTCGTATATGAGAATGAGTTTTTGCATTGCGAGAAGGTACTCCAGCAATATTTTAAAAAATTCAGAAATGGCGACTGAATTGTTTAGTTTGCCTCTTTGGTGGAGATTTGGAATTTCTATCGGTTCCCCGTTGGTGTTCTTTACAATAACCTTTTTTGCCTCGCGCACATGGCCGTTTACTATTCAACGCGGAGAGAATTTCGCGAGTTGACAAAAATACCGATGAACTTCAGCGGCGCCGCGATGTGAATGGCGAAGTACGGGGGCAGGAAAGAGGAGAGGAGCGGGGAAGGAGGAGGGATGAGAACTTTCCGTGAATTAAAATTCCGCAATTCTGCAGCGCAGAAATACACGGCGTTCAGTTTCGCTCTTCCACCGGGAATCCCGTGCGACGCTTTGAGCATCGCGACAGCCAAATAAATCTTTCCGGCGGCGCGGCCACGCTGACGCCGCGGCGCCAAAATTGGAATCTCGACGAATAATATCACGCGCGCGTGCAAGAGAGAGAGAGAGAGAGAGAGAGAGAGAGAGAGAGAGAGAGAGAGAGAGAGAGAGAGAGAG